GATATCAATCTTTATGCGTTCCATTTCATTTTTGACAACTTCCAATTTCCTAGATTCATACTTCTTACATTCCTTATTCCGATGATTAATGGATGTCTGCAGCTGTTTCTCTTCAATTTGAATGGTGCCACATCAGCAAATGGAGGTCTTGAAAGCTTTACCTTATCCATAGGAGCAAGGCTGGGTTTACTCAGATGATGCAGCTCTTTCCCAGTCCCATTTTGAGAGCCTTCTGACCTAACTGGACTATTCATAAAGTTGTGTGATAATGTATCAAACAGTGTTTCTTTGCTATTCATAAGGTTTTCCCTGGCCAATTCTTTGAGAAGTGGATGGACTCTTCCTTCTTCCTAGTGTGTCTCAATCTGTAAGCTGGGCTGATACCTGTGCACCATGTGCATCCCGCTGGGTTTGAAACACCAGTAGCTCAGCCTCAAAACTCACATCAACATGTCACCATGGTAGTAAACATAAAATCAACAGCAATGAACAAAATGGAAAAAAAAAAATCTGCTAACAAAATGAACTTAGCACAAATACATGGAGCAACAACATTATTAACAACACAATAAAAAGCACAAAAAAATGACAGCAGTAAATGCACACCTATTGGTAATTATTCTGATTGTGAATGAATTAAATGCACCAGTCAAGAGAAAGAAAATGACAGAATGGTTAAGAAATCAAGACCCATCCATATGTGACCTACAAGAGATTCACCTTAGACACAAAGGTAAAAATAAATTAAAAACCAAAGGTTGGAAAAATATCTATTAGGCAAATGGCAAGTACAAAAAGGCAAGAATGGCAATATCCTGTTTTTTTTTTTTTTTCCTTGAAGTCTATTTTATCAGAAGTTAATATTACCACTCCTGCTCTTTTTTGGTTGTCATTGTTTGATATTCCAAGGAAGGAATAATGATTAAAGGGTCAATCCAACAAAAGAACATAACCATAATAAATATCTATGCACCCAATGAAATATCCCTAAAAAAATAAAGCAAACAGTAACAGAATTGCAAAGAAAAATAGACAACTCCACAATAATTGTAGGAGACTTTAACACATCAATTTCAATGAATGGCAGAACAACCAGAAAGAAACTCAGGAAGGATTCAGAAGATCTAAACAATGCAGTTAACCAAGTTGACCTCATAGACATATAGAACACCCCACCCAACAAAAATGCAATACACATTCATTTCTAGTGCATATGAATCATTCTCCAGAATAGACTGGATGTTAGGCCACGAAACAAGCCTCAATAAATTTGAAAACATCAAAATGATACAAAGCATCTTCCTGCATCAAAAACTATAAAATTAGAAGTAATAATAGGAAGATTGAGGATGGGGGGATCAAATACATAGAAATTGAATGACATTGTTTTAAAACTGTTGGGTAGTAGAAGAAATAGAAAATGAAATAAACATAAATACTCATTCTTGATAAAAATACTATCAAAATAGGAATAGAAGGGAGATTCATCAAAATAATAAAAAGAACATACACAAAACCAATGGCCAACACTATTCTTAATGGAAAAAGATTGAAAATGGTAGCCAGACAAGGATGTCCTCTCTTACCACTCCTATTCAATATTGTATGAGAAATTCTAGCCAGAGGAATAGAGTAAAGCATGAAATAGCAATAAAAGGTATCCATATTGGCAATTAAGAAGTAAAATAATCACTATTTGATGATGATATGGTCCCATGTATAGAAAATCCCAGAGACTCAGCAAGAAACTACTGGAACTAATTGAAAGATTCAGCAAACTGGTAGGCTATAAGAACAACATACAAAAATCAGATTTCTCTACACCAATAGAGAAAACTCTGAAAGGGAAATAAAAGAAAATAAAACCACATACAATGTTGTTGTTGTGTTGTTATGTGCCATTGAATCAGACCTGACTCATAGTGACCCCTCCTTGGGTTTCCAAGGCGGTATCACTACTGAAGCAGATTGCTCCATCTTCTTTCTGAGGAGTGGCTGGTGGGTTTGAACCGCCAGCCTTCTGGTTAGCAGTCAAGTGCCTTAGGGACTACGCTACCAGAGCTCCTATATATATAT